TAATTTTTCGGTCCAATTTACGCAAAACGAGCTTACAGTATCTTGAAGTTTTTCAGTGGTATGCTGGCCCCCGTGACCATGGGTGCTGTAAAGCACCCGAAACGTCGGGAATTAAAAAAATAAAAAAATAAGTAAAAGTAGTGAAATAAACGCGATAAAATCCGTAAATTTAGTTTTATTCAATTTGTAGTGTTCTCGTAAATTTAAGAAATCATTACCAAGCCAAGATGTCAAGCGTACCGTGCCGATGGATACGCGGCTGGAGGGAGTCCAGTCACAAACGGTGCCTATCCGAGACTAGGGCGATTCGGGTAGTATTTTAGCCCTTCCCTCGGCATGCGGGGCTCTGCCGGGGGGACCGAATATTTTCCTAGCTAAACGAGGGACCAAAATGGATGAAAATCGACATTTTGAAAAGATTAACGAAAAATCTCCTCCAATGGTCTGTAGGTTTGGAAGAGGCTCTTTTAGCCTCACCAATATCCTGCAACACTACGCCCCAACCTGGGACGAGCCGAGAAGTGGAGGGCACGTTTGCAGCTGAACCACAATCGGATACGAACCAGGGAAGGGAGGGGAGGGGAAAAAGTTCGCTAGGCCTTATAAGCTTAGTGGGGCAGAAAGGAAGAGATACCGACGGCTGATAGCAGCTGAGATAGGAGCCGAAGAGGCCCTTTCTCTCGGCCAGAAGCCTTGGGACGAAATTCCTCTGCACAAACCTCCCCCAGTTCCGAAGGAAAAAAAACGCAGTCGGTCTGAAGAAGGGTGACCCAAAGACCAGCCCAGGAAGTCTGTGAAGCTGGAAACAGAGTAGAAGAAGCTCAGCTTCAGTGCCGTAGCTGGCTCCGCGCGTGTGGGAATTCGCAATTCGAATCCTATGAGTGTGAAGCAGATGCGGCTGGCCCACCGGGCACTAACACGGGTCATCGCTAAGACAGACTGTGGGGTGCAGCCGGGAATGGGACCAAAATTTTCAGGTTTCACTCACAAGCCAGGTTGGATTCCCGTAACGTGCCCGAATAAGAAGGTGTGGCCGTAGAAGGAAAAGGGGAGATCTCCCGCCAGGGCAAGGTGTTCTGCCCGGGGAGCGGCCAACACTCCGTGTGATAGTTCGGAGATGTTCTATATATACTGTTTATGATTCGGAATGATGATAGCGTGATTTAGGCTTCGGTGTGTTTAGCTTGTGGTGCGACGAAAGCGCCGCCACATCACCCCCCTGCTCAGACTGGAGGTCGATAGTGCAGCCTCGTTGCCGACGAATGTGCAAGTGCCAGAAGATTGCCTTGTAGTCTGCGGTGAGTCAAGAAGAAGGCAATTAATCTGCGGAGTGCCGTAAAGCAGAGGCGAGCAGTAAGGCTCAGAGCCGTGCCGAACACTGTAGCGCAGAGAGTAGCTTGAAGGAACAGGAAGCATTATTATTCCAGTGCTGCGATTAACCTTGTGAAGCTAGATGGCTTGCAGGATATGAAGACTGCAGACGATATCTGCTCGGGAGCGAATGGGTGGGGTATTCTATGACGATTATGAAGCTTGTAGTTTTTGAAGGTTGTTGGTTGCGTGTTCAAATCACGTCGAAATAAACCGGTCTCGATTGTGGGTGAGATCGGAAAACTGAAACCCTGGCCGGGGGCGGAGCTATAATACCCGAGGGCGAATTGCCTAAACCTCAGCTGGGCATTACATATCTGCCCCGCATAGAAGCTGACTCTCCAGAGTAGGCGGCTGTGCTGTTGAGGGCACAAAACGAAGGGCGAGGCGAATGGGTTCCTAGTAACCTTTTCTCAGGCGGGGGTTAGTCTACTACTAACTTTTTGATATTGTCAGTAGGACTAGATTAACACCTATTCTGCTCTCCTGTCCGGCGAGCAGTTTGGCGAATGGCTCTGGGGGAGAGCGCAGGTCGTGTTGGTCCCCAGGGCAAGTCTGAGGAGTTCTTCCTTCACGTGGTTGCCGCCTGTTATTTGCTCTGGTTCAATAGGAAAAGACAGAACTGAAACACTCAGACGATCCTCTTATCTTTTATCCCACCCCCTATTTCCCATCCTAGCCCAATCCAAGGTGTCAAGCGTACCGTGCCGATGGATGCGTGGCTGGAGGGAGTCCAGTCGCAAACGGTGCCTACCCGAGACCAGGGCAATTCGGGTAGTATTTTAGCCCTTCCCTCGGCATGCGGGGCTCTGCCGGGGGTGAACAAATATTTCCCTAGCTAATCGTTGGCCCAAAATGGACAAAAATCGACATTTTGAAAAGATTACCGAAAAATCTACTCTAATGGAACTATCTGTAGGTCTGGAAGAGGCTCTTTTAGCCTCAACAATATCCTGCAATACTACGCCCCAACCTGGGACGAGTTGTGAAGTGGAGGGCACGTTTGCAGCAGAACCACATTCGGAAACGAACCAGGGAGGGGAAAAAAAGTTCGCTAGGCCTTATAAGCTTAGTGGGGCAGCAAGGAAGAGGCACCGACGGCTGATATCAGCTGAGATGGTAGCCAAAGAGGCCCTCTCTCTCTGCTAGAAGCCCTGGGACGAAATTCCTCTGCCCAAACCTCCCCCCAGTTCCGAAGGCGAAAAAACACAGTCGGTCTGAGGAAGAGTCCCCCAAAGACCAGCCCAGGAAGTCTTTGAAGCTGGCAAGGGAGGAGAAGAAGCTCTCGCTCTAGAGCTCTCGGTAATATCCGAAAGCGAATTGCCTAAGCCTCAGCTGGGCATTATTTGCCCCGCAGCGAAGCTGACTCTCCGGAGGAGACGGCTGTGCTGTTGAGGGCGCAAAACAAAGGGCTCCATACCGAGCTCTGAAGAATCCTCCATCGACGAGACTAGGAGATTGGGTTCCTGGTAACCTTTTCTCTGGACGACCCATCGGCGGGGGCTCTTCGGAAGGCAGGCGGGAGAGTCGGCCTTGGCTTTAAAATGATAACTTTTAAAGTCAGTGGAGGCTCTGATGTGGCAATGGAGCCTGAACCGACCCAACTCCGATCCCCCAAGCCCTCCACCGCTCGAGGTCAGACTCTCCGGAGGAGGCGGCTGTGCTGTTGAGGGCGCAAAACAAAGGGCTCCATACCGAGCTCTGAAGAATCCTCCATCGACGAGACTAGGAGATTGGGTTCCTGGTAACCTTTTCTCTGGACGACCCATCGGCGGGGGCTCTTCGGAAGGCAGGCGGGAGAGTCGGCCTTGGCTTTAAAATGATAACTTTTAAAGTCAGTGGAGGCTCTGATGTGGCAATGGAGCCTGAACCGACCCAACTCCGATCCCCCAAGCCCTCCACCGCGAGATACACAGTGAGAGTGACGAAGACCCAAGGCGCTGATCTCGCCTCGGTGCGACGGCTTCCGCTGGTGTCGTCCAGGAGTGTGGGGAGGGGAGGTAGGAGCGGTACAACGAATAGTACGGCGGGGGTCAAGAGTGCCGGTCAAGGACGTCTTCGTCCTCAACTGGCGCAAAAGACCCCTGCCCCCCCCCCACGCCCATAAATGGCTAACCCAAAGGGTAAGACGAGGGTCCTCCAGGCAAATCTTCACCATGCAGCAGCTGCTTCTGCCGTGGTGGAGTTTTGCTTTGCAGAGGACAATATTGACCTCGCCCTCATACAAGAGCCTTGGGTGGCCAACGGTCAAGTTCTGGGATTGTCGACTGCCGGTAAAATTCTTGACAATACTAAAGGCAGTAGACCCAGAGCTTATATAATTTACAATAAAAATATTGAACTTTTAGCTGTTCCAGAGTATTGCAATGATGATCTGGTTATAGCCTTCATAAATCTCAAGGGATGCACAGTGGCCAGAGTAATCATGTGCTCAGCCTATCTTCCCGGAGAGAACTCGGATCCTACCATCGAGTTAGAACGAGTGGTGGAGTTCGCCCGAAAACACAACGCCGAACTTGTGGTGGGTTGTGATGCTAATGCACATCAAACAGCCTGGGGAAGCACTAACAATTAAATTTTTTATCTAAGTATGTTTAAAAGTCATAAAGATCATTGTATAACCTAAAACTACGTTATCGTCCTTTCTCACTCTAGACCACGCTAATCATTAGTCTATAGGTTTCTCTGTCTACGCTAGCGACTCATTTTACGCATTTTGAGGAGACTTTTACGGATTCAACGTCAAAAATGTTAGAATTTATTTAAGTCAGGTACATTTTAGGTTTAGTTAGTGATTTACCATTAGGTATTTTTAAAAAATAATTAAAAATACTTCGACGCTGCTCTGGCAGCAAAAATCGCATGGGTGTGCTTCAGATAGACCACCTTGATAAATTTCAAACCCAACCCATAATATATTAATATACAAGACAAGTTAATCACCTAAACATGACACTGGCAAAAAGGCTAAGTTCATTACTCAAAAAAGAAAACTGAAATGTCAATGTCCATGTCAGTGAAATAGTTTGACGCTAAGTTTTGATTTTAGAACTGAGAAATATCGGCGCGAAATTCTACCACATGAAAACTACTTAATGTAATTCTAGTATAGATTATTATGTAAAACAATATCAGTGGATATAACAAATCATCGCCATGTGATGTTCAAATTTAATTACGTTATGTTCCATTGTTGTTGAAAAATTGTGTTTTTGGGAAACGTTTCATAGGAAGATCTGAAACCAACTGAAACTGAATATTTAAAACAGTGATACACTCGTTCCCATCTTATATACCCTTCCGATGAGTGATGTCAATTTGCTTGGACACTGTTGTTACTGAAAATATAGAACAAGTTTTTAAATCATATGAAACAGATTTAAATAAAAATGCTAGAGTTGTTTTAAAATGTAATGAAAATGTTTTGAAGCCAAACTGTAATAAAGAACTTAATCGGAAACTTAAGAAATATATGCTTAGGAAGGATGGAAAGGAAGATCAAGAAATCATTGATGTTTCACAAACATTTAATAGTTCTTTGACTATTAAATCTCCTAATAGTTAAAAGAAGTGTTACAATAGATACCTTACAGAACAGTGACCTATTGGATAATAACCATAGTTTTAATATGGGTAGAAGAAAAAAAGTTAACATTAAAACCAATTTAATTGTGGAAAATGTTATTAGTCCTATTGAAGAAACAGATTCTTCAAATTCAAATGCAGATAAAGAAGATAAGAAACAAATGGATGCATTTAAATTGTTGATGGATTCTCGAAATAAGGTAATTGGGTGTAATTCACCTGGCAAAGAAAAAAATTCTGAATGTAATGTGCAAGATGTTATAGAAAAAAAGAAAATTAAAGCAAGAAGATTGTTGTCACTGCAAAAAATGGCACAAGCAAAAGGTGCGCTACAAAAACAAGAGATGGAAGAATTAAGAGAAACTTGTATTAATCAAAAAATGGAAGAAAGGGCGAAAAGGTTAAAAAGTATGATAACTAAAAATGATTTAGCTTTAGCAAAGAATATTAAAAATCCACCCAAACTCAATACCACAGATAAAAAGTCTGATCAAACACAAGTAAGTGAAATAGGAACTATTTTGAATAATAAAAATAATTCTTATATTCATGATAAAGCTCTTCCTAATCGTGACTTTTTCGATAACAGTATATCAACAAATAGCAATGCTAATACTACTATGTCACAAGAGGAAGTCGAATTTCTCAAAAAATTATCACCATCTTTGAAAAAAAAGGAAAATATGCTTTGTTATTTTAAAAAAGTACCAAAAGACACTGAAATTTGCATAGATAACAGTGAAACCGAAAATGTTAATAGTAATGAAACAACTATTAAAGTGAAATTCACACCTAAAACCAAGAAGAAGAAAAAATTGGGTGGTTTTGAAAATAATTTAGTAAATAGCAACAAAGATATTAAAAGTAAGCCTAAGAATAATAATATTGCGAAAGAGGTTTGTCTTTCTGAAAATTCTACAGTAAATGAAAACACAGATGAAGAAAGAAAACGGAAAAGAAAGAAACATATTAAAGAAAGTTTAAATGTTGACTCTGTAGAAAAATTATCACCCAATGATAGACCTAAAAGGAATATAAAAAAACCTTTGAAATATGTAGATGACATTTTCGTAAGTTCAGATGAAGAATTACATATTTTCACACCAAAAAAGAAGAAAAACATGGAGATTAAAAATCGTTTATTACAGGGCAATAATGATAATAATATTAATGAAACTAAGTATCAAATATCTAAAGAAATTAGTATACAATATGTAAATAAAACTAAGTCCAAACCTAATAGAACAGTCATTGTTCAAGATAAAAAGCCACCAAAATTGGCACCAATTTTTGCAACAAAATCACAAGTGACTGCTGAGGAGCTTATAGCTAAACAAAAATTTCTTCGTAGTGGAATACCCAGTCATATTAAGAAGAATACAAGTCAGCAAGCTATTAGTACATTGGGTTGTGATATTTTTCATACTGTGGTTCATGTTCAACAAATAGTACCTAAAGCTGATGCAAATGTCAACAGTTTAACTTCTTCAGTGCCAGTAATAGAATGTGATGATAAATTAAAAGTCGCAAATGTTTTACCCAATTTATTTAAAAATCTGTTAATATCTGATATTGAGAAGAAAAATATTATAACAGAGAATAGGAGTAATGTTGAAGCTATATTGCATTCTATGAAACAAATGTATTCAAAGTTTCCAGTATATCGTACATATCACTTATTGAAAGCTAAAAGTAGAGGAGAGTTTGGGGATTCAAACTACACTAATATAGATAATAGTATGGAAATAATAAATGGATGTGTAGACACATGTAATGACAACCCAGATAAATTGAAATGGACAGATAAATATAAGGCAAGATCAACTAAACAGTTGATAGGAAACTTTGAGAGTATCAAAGAATTAAAAAAATGGTTGGTATCATGGACTGAAAGTGATGTTTCAGTAAGGCATGATTCTGATTCATCAGACTTTTATCACTCTGATAGTGATAGTGGTGATGCAATAAGAATGAGAAATAACCTGCTCATACTAACTGGTAAAACCGGCACAGGAAAAACATCCAGTGTGTATGCTGTTGCTTCTGAATTATCAATAAAGGTTATTGAAGTCAATGCAAGTAACAAGAGAACTGGTAAAATAATGCTACAAGATTTACAGGAAGCAACACAGTCTCATAAAGTAGATCGTCAACGAGATTGCATTGATAATTCTCAGAAATCTTTAGATAAGGATGCTAATGCTTTACTAAAGGTTAAAAAACGTGGGAGACCTGCAAAGAATAAAGAGATTTTATCTCAAAGTTGTTCCAGTACCATAAAGAAAGATACCAATAGTGAACCTTTTTCTAGCCAGGAAAGTTTGAGAACTGGCATGTCTCTCATTCTTATTGATGATGCAGATATTGTGTTTGAACAGGATGATGGATTTTGTTCTGCAATTGCGCAGCTAATTCATAGTTCCAAGCGTCCAGTAATTTTAATAGCTGAGTCATCGCAGTGCCCTCATTTGCAGAAATATTTGAAATATGGGCAAATCATAAACATGCAGCCCCTACTCCCTAGAATGCTTGGCACATGGTTAGATATCATGTGTTTGGCTGATAGTGGCACTTGCTATCCAGGATTAGGAGCTATGTTATTGGACTTTTTCAAGGGTGATATTAGGAAGTCCATTAATTGCTTGCAATATTATATGACATCGCAGAAGTACATCAGTAAACAGGAAGATGCCTCCCAAGGAAGTGAATTTAATGATAAACAAGATGTAAATGATGAAAATTCTAGTATGTCGTGGGCAGTGAATGAAGATTTTGAAGAAAAAATTTCATATGCAAATACTTCTTGCAACTCTAGCGAAAACATCCAATATTTTATGGATAAACAGTTAAACTTGCAGTATCCATCACCTTCCCTTGTATTTAATGTTTGGTGGAGTATGCTGAAACTCCTGAGTCATAATATGTATGATATAAAAATACCACTATGTAAACATACTGACATGGAAACAAATCAAAGAAATATTTTAAAGCTACAAGTACATGCTTCAACATTAGACACAATTTCACTGCTTGACTGTTTAGAAAATACTACAGCAGAGTGTCAATCAAACATCACATCAAACCCTTGGTTCTCTCCTGAAAATGATAGTTTAATTGAGACTGAGAATTTTGAATGTTATGATAGAAATAATGAAATTAGACAAGATATTTCTCAATGGCTAATGACCAGTAGTATTAGAAATGCACAAACAAAATTAGGATGTGAACATAAGACTGATCTACAATTTCCCTCAATGACTTGGCAAAGGTGAGCAACTGTTTTTAACATACTTCTTATTTTCAGTATAATCCCTACTGAAAGAATCAATCTGTGTGTCTTTGTAGTTCATGGTGTGAGCGCTAGCATTTAATTTCAAAGTATGCAATCAAACCATGTCTGAACCTTGTCAAAATCAATGAAAATGTTTATTTTATTCTAAGTGCTCATTTGCCATGTGCTGAATGCTGTAGGAATAGAAAATTATGGTTGTATCATTAATGGATCGGTATGAACGTGGAAAAACCACATTCACAGAATACCAGCATAAAAGAGCAGCTCAATGCTGCTGTGTTTTGTATTATGAGTATAGAGAACCGGTGACCTTTTTTACTGGAATTGCATTCCATTTTGGTTCTCATGGGTGATATCTACTTTTTGGCTTATAATCAAGTATTGATGTAGGTGTCGATGGCTCGTGGCCTTCTTTTACCATCAGTTGGACTATGTACTCATTAGTCACACTTACTCTATAAATGCTATCAAGTTTTAACAAGTCCAAGTTATATACGAACTAATGAAGTATTTAATAACTTTGATTTTTTATTATAATATTTTTTTTATCATCATCATCATCAGCCTATAGACTGACCTTGATTTTTCATAATCTCTATGCTTAGCAGGCAGACCCTATTTGCAGTATCAGACATCTCACACTTTTGATGCTTCTTCTTGTTACCGAAAATACGAGTAAATAAGACTTTTATTTGAAAATATCTCAAATTGAATGTGATTTATGGGCAACAATGTTTTTGCCTATCGATCGACTCTTATGTATGTGTGCATGTGCAGTAAAATCAGTTACAATTTTATTATTACCACGCATTTGAATTTAAAAGATAAAAAGAACACAATGTTTTTTAATTAATTTTTCTTTACCACCTGTTTCTGAATAAGGCGGCAAAAAAACCCGATAGGATAAACTGAAATGTTCTTAGACTGCCAGAATAATGTCAAAAACATACAATTATTTTGTTTGCTACAAAATCGACTGTTAACCCTTCCATGAACAAAACTGATGTGTAAAAGTTTTTATGTTAATGACTTGTTTAGGTTGTGTGTTGAGGGATATTATAAGCCTATTTCTGGTAAAAATTATAAAGGAATCAGCAGTGTCCTGCAATAGCTGGGACTAATATGTCCCAGTATGCGTTAACTGGCAACTTTGAATGGATTTTATGGTTTGTAAATTTAAGTACATACAGATTTATGGAAAAATAACAACCGCTTTTAATTAAAAAAAATTATACGTATATTTATTTATGAAATTCAACAAAACAATTTTTGTTTGCTGTGAAGCATAAATTTACATTAGCGATTCTCAACACCGAACTTAGCTCATGGTGGTTGGTAAACTATTTATTAATCTGTGATGGCGGCACACATCTTTTATGGGAAGATTCTTCATTACTTGGGATGGTAAGACTTGCTTGTGTTCTATATTTTGGATTTGTTTCTTTGTCATAAAGGTTGACGGTAATATTTTAATTTAGATTTTCTGTCAATTTCATAAGTCACAATAAGGATAAGGGCATAACTGTAGGTAAATAAGGCACACCCATATCAGGTTCAGTAGACCAGTAATTTCTGAGAGTAGGTAACACATAATAAGCCATAATATAATTCATACCGATGAAAGCTGTCATTTCTTGAAGGTCTGTAGTGAAAACTGAACCATTATTACGAGCATAGCGTAAGGTCGCCAGTAATATAATTTCTTAAATCAATGCCTTGATATTCGTAGTTGGCTCAAAAATATCTATGGGTTTCAGTGATTCTGACTTTTGTGGTATGTTTACCTTACCAAAGTCATAATCAGTCTCAGAAAATAGGAAAGGCTGATAAGTGTTCTTCTTACACTTGAAGTGCACCACACAATGGCGAACCAGGAGATGATGAAGGGCCAGGAGTTGGATCTGGATCTGTGGTGGAATCTGGTGCACCTGCGGGCTCAATTCTAACTTCAGATACTTCCAGCTTCAATATCTTGCAGAATGAACGCCTGGTCTTCTTCATCCAAAATTAGTGCATATTCATCATCACTATTATTTGCCATGAGATACTCCTCCACTTCTTTTTCATTCAAATGAAATATTCTAGTACCCCTCCGAGCCTAAAACATTAAAGAAATTACTATAATTATTGAACTAGAAAGAATTTACTATAAATATTGAATATGGAACATAAAATATAATATTCGGAATGTTAGAAGCTTTTCATGCATATTGGGACACCCATGTCCCTAGTAATATATCTTGCATTTGCATTGCTTTGATAGGTTCCATTACAATAAATAATAATAAATTCATAATGATTACTTACAATTAATCACAAAAATTATCAAAATTGCAAGAACTATATTTTAATTAACTTTTGAAAAATATTTACGAAACGCGGCAAAACATCCAAAAGTAATAACCAACGCCGCGCTACCAACCTTAAAATACTTTAAAAAAAACTTTCGTTCAAAACAATTGATGAGGATTACTGTTTTGTTTTTAATTATTGACTATATCAGTAAAAATGTAAGTTAAAATTTAGGGATACTGGTGTCCCATTTGCATCAAAGGGTTAACATTTTATTGTACTGCTTTTCCAATTTTTATATCAATTAAATCATGTCCTCGAGTCTCAAAAACTTTTAAAGTGTCGTAATTGTCAAAACTTGTTCCCTAAATATTTATTTGAGGAAACCTCTACCTCCACGTCCTCAAGTACCATTCATTAATTTCCGAGTAGATATTGCCTGCAGTCTTCCTGCAAGTCATATCTGGCTCTACAAGGTTCACCGTAGCACAGGAATAATGCTTACAGTGTTCGGCATGGCTCTGAGTCTTACTGCTCGCTTATGCTTTACAGTACTCTCAGATTACTTGCCTTCTTCTCGATTCACCGCAGACTACAAGACAATTCCTGGCACTTGAACATTTTTTTGAAAACTAGACTGCACCATTGTTTTCTGGTCTAAAACTGGTGATTTGGCGGCGCTGCCTCCACGCCACTAGCGAAACAGAAGCTTAAATTACGCTATCAAAATTCCAAAATACTGCGCTATTTATAGAAATGCTTTGTACTAAGTACTAACACACGGAGCATTGGCCTCTCCCCAGGCTGAACACCTTGCCCATTGGGAGATCTCGCCTTTACCTTTCACGGCCAAAAATTGATTGAATATTTTTACGTTACAGGGATAGAGACAAGATAGTAAGCCGACATAAGAACTTAGCCAGCTATTTAAATCTTTCATCTATGATGGATCGAAAAGCTGTTGCCCTTGATTACTGGTCAAGTTGTCGCACTATATGCAGACTGGAAAAAATAAAGACAGATTCAAACAGTAAAAGAAATAACAGGTTTTGTCATTACCTTAAGTCTCTAAATGTACTTTGCAAAAATGATTACTTTGATAAGCTGGGTGATAGTTTATATATAAACGAAAATACCTAGGCAACAATTATTTAGCAAGTAAGTATTATAATATATAATAGTTTTTATTTGCTCTGTTACTAGGATTGACTTTACCCAAAAATCTAGTGTTAAAATTTAGTATATAGTAATAATAAAACCGTAGTAAAGTTTGGCGCCAGTTAATTTAATCTGACTATCCTTTAAAGTAAAAGCTTTTTATCTAGGTATAAATTTCTATAAATATTATGAAACTTCTTGTCTGCAATCTGATATGTAAACATTTCATTAATTACTGTCATCTTAATGTAATTATAAATGATTTAAATCAGATTTACATATTGTCAATTATTTTCTTGTCTTAACTATTTTATATATGTTAGTATCATAATATTTATTTTCACTTCTAATGTTCTACATAAAAAGTTATGATTATCAATAAAATAAAGTTATAGTAACTATTTCTATACACTGTATTTTTTTTTAGTGCTCCAATGCTAAATTCAACAAGATGGAACAATTATGAATGCACTGTCGGGGCTGTCTGTGCCCCCTACGGATCATAGAGGTTTTCCTCTAAGAGTATATCACCATGTATCACATAGATTGCTGAAATTTGGCATATTTGTAAAACGTGGTTAGTTACTAACTGCAACTAAATTGAGGCTTGCTCTTTCTTTGCGTCCAACTCGACGGGGGGAGAACGCTGCCGACTATTCCGCGGTGTAAGTGCTCCATGCCGGAAGTGTAGTTCACACAGCGCTCGGTTCGCAAAGCACTCCTCTCCCTGGACATCCACAAGTTGTGTGGGCCTGACGGAATCCCACCAATTGTGCTGAGGGCGTGTGCTCCAGAGTTGGCACAGTTTTAACGCGTTTTTTTCGGTACTCCTACTCCCTAGGTGTAGTACCAAAATCATGGAAGACGGCTTTCGTCCACCCGATCCCTAAAAAAGGCGACCGCTCAGACCCTTCCAACTACCGGCCTATCGCCATCGCCTCCTTGTTCTCCAAAACAATGGAGACCATTGTAAACTGCCAGCTCATCAGGTACCTTTAGGATCACCAGCTGATTAGTGATCGCCAAAACGGCTTTCGCCGTGGTCGATCAGCTGGTGATCTTCTGGTCTACCTAACTCATAGATGGGCGGAGGCAGTGGAGTCCAAGGGGGAGGCATTGTCTGTTAGTTTGGACATTGCGAAGGCCTTCGATCGGGTTTGGCACAAAGCGCTTCTTTCGAAGCTCACTTCCTATGGGCTTCCCGAGAAATTGTGCGATTGGATCACCAGCTTTCTTGCAGATCGGAGCATCAAGGTCGTTGTAGACGGTGCATGCTCCGATTACAAGCCTATTAATGCTGGGGTTCCACAAGGCTGCATGCTATCACCAACGCTGTATCTTCTGCATATCAATGATATGTTGCAAACCGGTAACATTCACTACTATGCGGATGACAGTACTGGTGATGCTATGTACACCGGCCGTGCCAATGTTTCTCGGGAAAACGTCTCCCAGTACCGGGACAAACTTGTGTCTGAAATCGAGTCTTTGCTGAACAAAGTCTCGGATTGGGGGCGACTAAATCTAGTCCAGTTTAACCCTCAGAAACCGCTAAAAAGAACCCCTTTATCGTATCTCCTCAGTTGCAAGGCACACCCCTTGTTGCCACAGCCAGTATCGGAATCCTCGGCGTCGACATATCGAGTGACGTGCAGTTTCGTGGTCACTCGGAAGAGAAGGCCAAATAGGCCTCTAAAAAGCTTGGCGTGCTCAGCAGAGCGGGACAGTATTTCATACAGGCACACCGCCTGCAACTTTACGAGGCGCAGGTTCGGCTGCACATGGAATACTGTTCCCATCTCTGGGCTGGAGCTCTCCAGTACCAGCTCCTTCCACTTGACCGCATCCAGCGCATAGCGGCTCGAATCGTCGACGACCGAGTGCTTTCCGATCAGCTCGATTCACTGGCGCTGCAAAGAGATGTTGCATCTCTTTTCATTTTCTTTCGCATATACCATGGGAAGTGCTCTGAGGAATTGTTCGGATTAATCCCAGCCGCCAAATTTCATGAACGCACTACGCGGCAAACATCCCGATACCATCAACACCATCTGGATGCTTGGCGGTCCACCACTGTACGTTTCACAAGGAGTTTTCTTCCGCGTACGACCTCTGTGGAATAGTTTACTACCAGCGATTTTTACGAACCGATACGACTTGGGGACCTTCAAGAAAAGAGCTTACTCCTTTCTAAAGAGCCAGCAACGCACCTGCAATTCCTCTGGTGTTGCAGTTGATCATGGGCGGCGGTAGTCACTTAACATCAGGGTAGCCGCATGCTCGTTTGCCCCCTCTTCTATAAAAAAATGAAGAGATTATAAATTCTAATTTCATGTTTCAAATAATGTGACAATTAAAAGCTCTAAGCATCATAAACAGACTTTTTAAATCCACTGATGGACATATGAGACCTATGAGACCAAGAATGAGAGATATTCAGCTTGCATCCTTTCAGGCATTTAAACCTTGATATTTACCTTCTAACAGTTGCTTCCATTTGAGAACGATTTGGGAAATTAATCTATTTTCTAATAATTTGACGTTGATTTAGAGCCGTCACTGCCTCACTAATGGCTCTGCTGGTAGTAGACCGGCTAACTTTGAAGTCCACATCCTTTGTAAGGCTTTTTTGGTGTGAGTCATGGGTGAAAAAATGTAAGAAAGGAAGAAACAAAGAAAGTAAGACCTTTATTCACTGGAACTGTACACATCACAAAAATAAAATAATAAACAGTAAAAATAATAAATAGTATCTGTAACGCGCAAAGGGACTAAGTACTCAAAGAAAAATTTAAATAACAAAGTAGGTGATAATTTATGTAGGTATAGTACTGAGTTCACTAACTAGGTACTAATTTACATTCAGTTCTATAAGAAGTGAGCTGAGTAATGGTGTTGTCGCCAAACAGGCTTTAAATCTCTCACAACAGTCAAGGCCAAGTCCGGGGTGAGTAGATAAGTATTCTGGAAGTTTGGGTTCTCGTACGAATTAGACAAATAGCGAAATTGTTTGTTTCGGATCATTGTATCCGTAGCTTCTCTTTTTCTTGGTTGCGGACTCGCCTATGAATAAGTAATGTCACCATGGCTGACATTGCTTATATCTATAAAATAATTATTGAAACCTTATAAAAATATAAATTTCTTCCAAATATTCACATATAAATCAGCTTTACAGATTAAGTGCAAATATTGAAGAAATTATATGAAAATACGTCCTATAGATAATTGTATCTAATTTTTGTTACCTATCTCACATTTAGAAAAGCTTATTTATCTCATTTAATCATCACTATTCAAGTTTTAGCCTCAGAGCACTCGTAAAGTTTATACGAGCGAACTGTCAATTCCCGAAAACGAATTTCGAATTCATCCGAACGGCGAATTGGAATAGCGTTTATTGGTTTCTGTGCGAGAAGTTAGCAAACCCGAGTCGACTTCCCTTTCCGAGACGTTTGTGAATAGACCTGCTGGAGGTCAACCTTCAGCGTTTTGCTTGTTGTAGTGCTCTTCAATCGTACCCAGTACATTTCTTTGTCTTAGACCAGTGTATTGGGAGAGCAAGATCGAGAGACCCTCTTAAACTGCAGAGACTGATTTAGGGATGACTGATATGACATTTATCAAGAATCTAGCTTCAGGCCTTGTTTAATAATGCCAATCTCGTAAGATTTAACGTCTCCGACACAAGCATGTCTCTTCAACCAAAAAGGAGCAAGCTCATCTTGATTTCTTTCTGAAATGTATCATTGGAATTTACGGGCCGGTTTCAGTTGCTGGGGCTTGAGGTTTCCTCGAACTTGTGCTTTGGGAGATTCATTGTTGAGTGATTTCAGGGCCAATACTTCAAGCCGGGACAGTGGCTTACACAATATAAGTTCGATCGTGCATTGAGTGTTGATACCATATATGGGCTGGTGCAGCAAAATGCCACTGTAGCGGCGCTGTCGTCGCCGCCACAAGCGAAAACATACCGAAGCCTAAATCGCGCTATCAACATTCCGAATCATAAACAGTATATATAGAACATCTCCGCACTATCACACGGAGTGTGAGCCGCTCCCCGGGCATAACACCTTGCCCGGTGGGAGATCTCCCCTTTTCCTACCACGGCCACAGTGGTGACCCCGACGTGATCTGAACACGCAACCAACAACCTTCGGAAACTTCAAGCTTCATCATCGTTATAGAATACCCCGCCTATTCGCTCCCGAGCAGATATCATCTGCAGTCTACATATCCTGCAAGCCATCTAGTTTCACAAGGTTCATCGCAGCTCTGGAATAATAATGCTTCCTGTTCCTTCAAGCTACTCTCTGCGCTATACAGTGTTCGGCACGGCTCTGAGCCTTATTGCTCGCCTCTGCTTCACGGCACTCTCGTAGATTACTTGCCTTCTTCTCGACTCACCTCAGACTACAAGGCAATCTCCTGGCACTTGCACATTCGTCGACAACAAGACTGCACTATCGACCTTCGGTCTGAGCAGGGGGTGATGTAGCGGCGCTGTCGTCGCGCCACTGGCACACCGAAACACACCGAAGCCTAAATCACGCTATTAACATTCCGAATCATAGACAGTATATATAGAACTTCTCCGAACTATCACACGGAGTGTTAGCCGCTACCGGGGCATAACACCTTGCCCGGTGGGAGATTTCCCCTTTCCCTACCACGGCCACAGTACTGTGGCCGGAGTATGGGTATGTAAAGAAATTTAATGCCGGCTGTACACGCTCGTCGAGACACCACGAGACAGGCCTAGAGGTGAGCGTTATTTAACATAATCGGTTTCAGAACCTGCTTACGAGCCTGATAATCGTATATCCAGTTTCGTGATCAAAAATGTAACGTACGCAGTTGACACACACAATGACCGGCGCTCGCGTAAGCGTTTCGTTTTGAACAGATTATTATTAAGATGAATATAGGTACGTAACACGATATACGACTCGCACAACGAGAGTAAAGAGTCCCTTCGGGATAGGTAATGGCTTACACGCAAGATGTGGATCATAAAAAATATGTGATGTGATGGACAATAATACTTAGGTACTTACATATTTTGTGACTATAAAATTATACAAAAGTACTAACATTGACGATGTCGTGCGCGTATTATAATACCTATAAACTGTTACCTATATATTCGTAATCATATCATAACACAGTTAAACTAATGTTATAATACCTATAACCTGTTAATATTTTCGTCATCATAACCTAACACAAACGCAAAACTAACCAGGCCAGGCGTCCGGATAAAGCCGGACACAGTCAGGCTTTTTGTTTGCGTGTCCGGCCAAATTAAACAGTGTCCGGGTCTGTCCGGCATTTGTCAGTCTTTTTATATTTGACCATTTTTTTACATTTTTCATGTACTTAAATACATACTATTGCAATTATTGAAACTAATATTGTAATGAATATTGAATGATTAATAATAAAGTACACTGATTCTTTTAATTTAAGATTTTATGGTAAATGATAATAAGCATTGTTTTACTTTAAAAAATATATTATCGTGTTATACGAAGACTGAATAATTCGGCCTTTTTACCAAAAAGTCCGGCTAAGCTGGATGGTTTGTTCGGCTTTTCGGTTTAAAGACCTGGTAACCCTAGATGTGTATAGCTCATGGCGGCTGAACACGCTCGTCTCGTCGCCTTGTGTGCCTCTCGTCACGTAAAGGCTCGACACGAGAACACACCATGTACACACTCGTTGTATCATTTGAAGTTTGAACTCCATATGCCCGCTGAGATGGACCTAGATAAAACTGTTGCTGCGTTTTTCCTTTGAGCTGTTATAATTTTTTACACATTTATTAAAAATAAAATTAATAACCCATTGCTAAGAAGGAGATGGTGTATAGTTTATATTAATTTACCGTAACAGTACCATGTACGGTGAATAGAATAGTGTATAGCTTGCGGCTTGCGCCACGAAAGATAAACAGTGCGGTGCAGTATGAAGTACGGGGAAGGGAAACCATAGCAACGGGCGACGCGCTAGCCTCACGTAGTGTCTCCCTGCGTCCAGTCGCCCGCGCACATACTTGTGTCGTCTTGCGTAAAGTGAAAGTGTTAGCAACTACCTGTTATAGTTATACAATATTTAAAAAAATATATAAATAAAGTAAATAATTATTCAATAAACCTGGCACTAAAGACTTAAATATTGATATCGGTATTAAGAGTATGAAATATTTTATGAGATTTGTAAAAATTAGCAGGATCTATTGAAAGATGACTGTGATCATGTAAGGAAAAAGAGAGGCTCAACTAATCCCGGAAAAAAAAACACATGTTTCTTCGTAAATTTAAGTACATATATATTTTAAACGAAAGTAAAAAAAATCAATAACATCATTAAATACTGTATTTAATAAACTTTCTAACAGTGTATTACACTTCTTTATACATTATCATCAAAAAAAAGTTATTAACAATAAAATCACGTATGTCGTCTTGAGACAAAACATAAATTACAAATAAAAAATATTTTACTTCTTTAACTAAGTGTACACAGAATACAGAATATTATTTAGCAGCAATTAAAACCTAAAGATTATATATAAGTGCGTTTTCGTGGAGACTTTGATGTGTAGTTATAATGTCGACCTTTGTCTTTTTACATATTAAAATGTCATAATACAGTTTGCATTTTTCTGCTTGATTATACATGCGCAGTGGACGCTAAGTAATATCATCATTCGCTCTCGTTTTCATCGCGATACGTACGAGACTCTTTGACTCGAGCGCAAAAAACCGACACGCTTCCGAGAGCGCACGAGGGCCAGACGCGCGGGCGACGAGAGCATCCTGTACACACTCGTACTCGGGCTGTCTAGACATGGGTCGTAACGTCTTTTGGACGTAATCGGTTGTACGTAGTTTCGTGGATATGAGTAACTAGTTTCAAAACTACTTATTTTTGTAATTAGTTACATCTGTATACAGTATAGTGTAGGTTAATTTTGCGTTTGTGTTATGTTATGATTACGAAAATATTGACAGGTTATAGGTATTATAATATTAGTTTAAGTGTGTTATGTTATGATTACGAATATGTAACAGTTTATAGGTATTATAACATGTGCACGACATTGTCAATATTAGTACCTTTGTACAATTTTATACAGTCACAAAATATGTAAGTATTTAAGTATTATTGTCCATCACATCACATAATTTTTATGATCCACATAATACACAAAAATTAACTTAATACAAAAAATATTTATTATTTATTTACACTAATTATATGTCTATTTATGTACACTAAATATTTATAGACACTTTAAATGTTTATTCACAAAGAAAACTATACATGTTATAATATTTAAAAAAAAACGCATAAAGTTTTTAAGAACAATGTTAAATAACGCTCACCTCTAGGCCTGTCTCGTGGTGTCTCGAGGAGCGTGTACAGCCGGCATAAAACAAGTTACGACAACAACAAAGCTACACGCACACCGCACAGGTTCGTGATGACAGATGACTAATAATAGACTGCGATCCGATTCACGCCAAAATCGCTGATGGCCATCGGCTCACGTTCACGTTCCGAATCACCCGTTCTCTGAAGGGCGCGAAATTTAAAATGATGTACAATAAATTTGGAACTTCAGATGGGCAAATCACAATGTTGTGATGGCTTGTAGATGTGTGTGTTGATATTGACATGTTGGCCAATATCAACACACACATCTACAATTATATATATACGACAACGATGTCTGTGTCCAAAGTTCTAATTGTAAATTGTAACTGTGGAAACTTCTTTTAATTGACATGCCAAAAATTAAATTTTTGAGTCTGCCTTTTCATGATCAGGACATGATCGAGCATCGGGGACGAACGATTGACCAAAGCTAGTTGGAAACGTGCGAGCTTCTCCATCATTCGGGTCAATTTTTCACAGTACACATCTGTAGTAATGCTTATCCAGTTTGGTAAGAGGCTGTGATGAATCACACCGGTGCTAGACCACCAAACGGTGACCATCACTTTTCTAGAGGTAAATTTTCGTTTATTTCGGGTATTGTTTAGGTGCTGAATCAGGATCCAACCAACTTTCTGAGCATTTGCGGTTGTCAAACAGAATCCATTTATCGTCACAAGTAACAATGTGGTTCGAAATTCCTTCGTTTGTGTGCCTGTTGAGCAGTGCAAGGAACGTTTCGCCGTCGCGATGCGTTTTGTCAAGCTTTTTTACTTTGCAAATTTGACGCAAATGAATCAATATTGTTTTGATGCTAACGTCGAAAGCTGCTGCTAATTCAGCCGTAGATTGAGTATCATCAGCTTCCACAATCGCCTTTAATTCCTCATTGTCGACCAAAGTTTTCAGACGACCATGGGGATCATTTTTTAGGTATTTCCAGAACGGAAGCGGGAACCCAATAACAGGTGGTGCGTGCGTTTTTGTGTAGTAGTATTCGTCGCGTCGTTGCGTGCCGCTTGTGCCGCGTTCCTGCCACGACGATACTCATATTCCATAATTACTCGAATTTATAATGTAGGCAATGTAAAAAAATCCATTATTAAAATTTATTGACCTCAACACTTTAAATGTACATAAATTTATATTGTTTACATTGCCTTACAGACAGTGATGGCCTTAGGAACATAAAATAAGATACGATTTAAATTTTTCATGTAATAATAATTTAAATTTGACATTTATTTTAATTATCATTACATGAAAAATTTTTGTTAAATTAGACTACAGATAGGTATTACCTGTCCAAATATAATTTAAGACAGATAGCAAATGTGCTATCTCATTATTTATGCATTGACTCAGCCAAGAATTTGGCTACCCAGACATCTCCTATTGAGCAGCATAATGATTCGACATGCAATTTGGAATCGGTTCCAAGTAATTTAAATTAGAAAATAAGACAATAGAGGTAATCTCTAGCAATTATAATAATTTAAATAATTTAATTTAAATAATTTTTTCGATACATCTCGATGACAGAAAATTATGGTAATGTACCTAAATAAATAAAAACCTGCGAATTATTTTTGGGGCTTATAGCAGTATCCGATTGTAGTGCAGGACTTAAAACTGTAATTTTAAATACTATAAAAGAATATGGAATTGATTTGTCCAATTGTAGCGGCCAGGGTTACGATGGAGCAAATCTCATGTCGGTTGTATATGGATGCTTACAAACCCTTATAAAAGAGCATGCCCCAAATGCCAATTATGTGTTCATCGTGCGGCACACGCAGTAAGTTTAATTTAAATGATGCTACGAAATGTGTTTCTGAAGTGTCATTTTTTTCGTTAATTTGAAATAAAAATGGGGTTATTCCGTTTATCCACCCTAAAAATCCTAGGGTGGATACGCGTGTTCATGTGTCCACACTAGACCACAAAATAAACTATATATATATATATGTATATATAGTTATATAGTTAGTCATAAATAGTTGCCTAGAAAATAGCTGCCTAGACGGGATGTATAATCAGATTTAATATATATTGTTTTTCTTTCGATTTTCTCCCTCTGCTGTGTACCATAATTTATAGAAATATGATAAAAGCTGGCCCAACAAGATACTTAGTAGACATTACTTATAAAAATTTATTCATATTTTTTGTTTGAAAGATCAACGCTGAAATAAAAGGAGTACCTCACAGAATTACGGATTCATTGGAATCTTGGCTAAATATGAATTAAAATGAAGACAAACATTAATTAGTAACATTTTTGGAATGCTTGCAAAAAACGCCCAGTTCTTCGCTAAAACCTCTGTTGTAGCAAAGAAATTTAGAATACGATTGCAAATGTTTGTTAAATGTTACGAATTTATACAGAACATGAAATTGCGTCTACTCAATAATGAAATTAGTGTATATGTAGCCTGGACATTTGGAGTGGAGTGGGGTGTAAAAACTACTTCCAAAAATAAAAGAAAAAAGACAACGAGGCGTTTTTTATGAAGAATATCAGAAGGTGAGAGAATTTCATATCCGGAATCGTACTTCAAAGTCAATGCGTGCGTATTATTGATGTTTAGATATATTAATGTCTCGAACTATACAAAGATTTCAGAGCCTCTGAGACCTAAGTAATGTGTTCGAAGTATTACAACCTTAAAATTAGCGTAAGGACCCCGACACAACCAACACTATCTACCAGAGCGCTGGCCCTAAAATGACAGTTTAGGGCCAACATCTCCGCTAGGAGTAGTAGTGTTCTGTGGGCCAACGCGACTTGGTCGACAGTGGTGCGCGCGTAGGACAGATTTGCTTGTCATAAATATGCTTAGTTACGTGATAAAGGATGCAAAAATTACGATACAAAGAAAATAAAGGAACATGGGATATCGTATCATAGGTAAGTAACCTTACCTTTTTCTTACAATTAAATCATTATTTAAACGCATTTTTAAAGTTTTATTTTACAGTTAGTTTAGTTATGTTATCAAGATTACACCAGGGTTGGATTCGGACCCTCAAAAATATTGTACATACATTTCATGTTTCTTTTTCTCATGCGCCGATATAATGGCGTCACGCGTCTGGTGTATCTATAAGTTTCGTTATTTGACGCTTTTATTTTTGTCTTAAGAAGATAGAGTAAGTTAAATTTTAAACATTGGTACCTAATATGTTTTATATTCAATATGGGTAAAACGAAAAAAAAAACAAAAGAAACGATAACTACTCAATTGAAACTGAAAATCTGATTCATAAAATATGTTGAAATTCTGTTTTCTTTTCAACACCCAAACTGAGAGAAGCTGCGGCCGTCATCAAGCTTCTGGTAAAAATGAATAGGCGAAGACTTATACAGAATGTTTACACATGTGCGATGACGAATTACGATTCAAATAATTTCTAAATTACAGATTTCCAAATGATCGAATGAATGAAATGATGCACATTAGGGAACAACGAAAAGAGCCTTATTTCAAGCCTCATAAAAACGCGAGGAGGAGGAAGAAAAGGAGTATGCTTTGCTCATTTTTGTGACAAAGATGTTGATATTTCAAAAGCCGGACTACAAAGGCTGAAAGGATCGGCTATACCGCGATTTGAGTACGGTAGGTATTGGTCTCTACAATAAAAATTAATTTTGTTTGCTCGTTCTCCATATTTAGAACCCTATCTATATAAATTATTTACAGGTTTGTGAGAACGAAAAACTCCGCCCTTCAACGCCAGCACAAAGTTCACACGTAAAGGAAATTGATGTTGATATTAGCGGTCTCAATTCAATATTTGACACGCCAGGGAAAGTACACCTAAAACAAGAATTGATAGATTAGAAAAAGATCAATAGGTTTGCAGCTATGAAAATAAAAAAGTTAAAAAAGCAAAATGCTAGGTTAAAAAAGAAAACAATTCACTCCTATATATGTATAATTAAAGATTTGAAACAGAAGAATTATATCACATAGGAAATTGAGTCTGCTCTTGGAACGAATGCTGAAATAACAGAGTTTTACAGACTACAATTGCTTAAAAATAAATACATTAGAAATAGAAACAAATCAAGAAAAACAAAGCGACCGTCTTATCCACCCGCCCTTCGAAAGTTTGCTATGGCATTAAATTTTTACTCTTCATCTCTCTATAAATATGTACGGCGAAAATTTGATTGTTATCTTCCTCACCTAAGAACCTTGACCAAATGGTAAATTAATAAAGACTTGTTAGTTATGTGTTATAACTCGGACGCTGGTTATGTGTTGTAACGGCGCACCTGGATTCACACAGGTATCGTTTGAAATGCTTTGAAACTCAAGTTTGCGTTTGAAACTCAAGAGGGACAGTATTTCAGAAAATATTGAATGCTGTTTAATTTTTGATGAGATGAACATTCGACAGGCCAAATTATGGAAAGGCGAAAGAAATGTTAAGTCACATAGACATGGGGTATGAAAAACTTGTCAAAGAAAAGAAAGCCTTATAGGCTTTCTTTTCTTTTGCTATGCTTCTAAGCTTTTTCGAAAATTCGAAAATACCAGTCGGTTATTTTAAGTGGATGGTTTTACTAGTGAACTTATAGCAAATACTGTTAATATTTATCTTGAAAAATGTTATTCCTTCGGTGTCAATGTCGAAGCTCTCATATTCGATGTGTGTTCTACGAATGAGCTACGAAATAGCTAACGAAACGAAATACGAAAAAGCTGCAAACATTCTGGGTTGCAATATAAGTAGTACAAGTCAATTAAAAACAACATTCACCAACACTGTTACAAAAGTAAATATTGTAGTTTACAGGACGCATCTCACATGATAAAGTTAGTAAGGAACGCGTTTGAAAAAAAAGATAATTTTCAACGAGAAAGATCAGCGAATACTTAGAATGGAAATTTTTGATTCGGCTCTTAAGACTCCAAACAAACCAGCGGCAAAATTTTGCTAATAAATTAACCTACAGACACATATACTTTAAAAAACAAATAATTAAGGTTAAATTAGCGACTCAATTGCTGCAAAAGCACTGACACTCTGCAATGAAATATTACAATGTAGTTATTTTTCAGAATGTAGTGAGACAGTCGAGTTCATTAATTTATTCAATAATATATTCGATATTTAAAATTCTCGCAGATTCAATCAATCTGGATTCAAGAGAGCAATTTCTCCAAGAAATAAAGAAAAAATATTTAATTTTATTTTCGGTAATGTGAAAAGAAAGATTAAACGTTATGTTGTTAGACCACCACGAATAGTGTTCATTATTAGAAAAAAAGCATTTTGGAATCTAGAAGCAAAATGAGATTCCTATTGATTGTGTGCTTAGAAAGTTTAAGACTCCTCTATTTAAATTTAATTGAGTCGAATTCTAAATAGAAGTACATTTCGACGAGTCTCAGGATCATTTAGAGCTATTTTTTAGCTTAATGAGAAAGCACGGTGGATACAATGATAACCCAAATGCTATACAACTCAAAGTAGTGTATAGGCTTTGCATAAATCACTTATAATTAAAATCGTCATTTACTGGAAACGCTATTCCTTTGGACAATTTTCCAATTTTAACTGTGTCATCTGTAAATGCTATTAATTTTACCACTGAAATGACTCGTCACGAAGAAGAAGACATGCGCCAGACATTCGACACATACGTGTCAGGAGGAAAATGATGTAGTTTATTCCAATAACTGCACAATTATCGCATACTTTAGATAACCCAACTGAAAACGTCTTTGGCCACCTCACAGAGAATATAAAACTGAGTGTTGGGTATATTGGCGGATGGGTAGACAGAAGCTTAACAAAAAAAGATTGTAATTTAAAAGTCTAGTTAGTTTTCTTTCATAAATTGAAGCCTTTGTTTTCCTTCTCCGGACCTGTTTGAGGTATGCCTAGAAATCGAAAAAATATAAATAAAATATAAGACACAATAATAGACTCCAATTTATGGCAAAAAGTGATTAGGTATATGTTCCTATCAACAAAAACTCTAGCAAAGTTTATAAGAAAGAACACTTTCACTGTTTTAAACTTGCACTCTGTTGATCAGAGCCGGCAACATTGAATCATAGATGCATCTAATTCGAGTCATAATTAAGTAACATATAAATGTCAGAATGTATAACGAATCTATCACGGAAAACACGGGGAAGGGAACTGGAAAACAAAACATTTAAAAAAATTATTTTATTTAAAGGACAATTGTAATATGTATAAAAATATGTAAACGTCTTTTATAATAGCTTTTAAAACATTCTAATACTAAATTATTATAACAATAATTGTTACGAGCTTGAGGTTCGTGACAATAATATTATAAAAAAATTAACTTGTTTACAATTATTTCAAGTAAAGCTCTTTGAGATAATTTTTGTTTCACTTATGTTTTCTTTGCTACCTGTAAAATATCATCACAAAAAGGAAATCGTTATATGTATCAGCTTGCAACTGACTTATATACTGACCAACTACGATAAAATGTGAGAAAAAATCATGTATGCATATTAATGACTTCAAAAGAAAGGATAGGCCCATCCTTAGAATACACATCAGCAACGGAAGGGGATATAGAATTTATGCTGTTATTACCGACGGAAAACTGGATGCTTGGTTATTGAATTTTATCATCAATAATTCTATGAGCTCCTTGATGAAATGAATTTTCTAAATTTCAGATTTTAATCATGTTTTCGGAGTAGGTAATTCATTGTTCATAAAGATAAACTATTCCAAATTTCCCTAACTTCAGCTCACCGTTTTCTCTTGTGCCTAGTTTTGCGTTGAAGTCTCCCATCAA